ATTATATTAGAAAATAATATATGCATATATATATATATATATATATTTATATTTAATTTTAATTTTTAATTTTAATCTTTAATTATTTATTCCAATTATAAAATTATATACTATACATATTTCTTTAAATTCTTATATATTAAGTTAATATATTAGTAAAAATGATTCCTTTTATTTATTTTAATAAACAAATTTATAATAAAATTAATATAATTATATTATTTATATATATTTCATGAAAAAAAAAAGATTAAAACAAAAATTAAATTAAATATGTATAAAAAAATGCAAAATTAAATTAATCAATTTTTTTTTACATAAAATTTCGTTAAATAGTATTAAAAATAATATTTTAATAAATAAATAAATAAAAACTATACTATTTATAATTATAAATCATTTCGTTCCAAATTATATGTTATAAAAAGATAATAATATACAATAAAGACGCAGTTAATCTCTTTCTAAAAGTTAAAATAATTAAATAAGAAAACATAATAACAGTTAAAATAATAAAAACAATATCTAAACTATATTTTTAAACCAAAATTTAAAAAAAAACATTTACAACAAAAAAACAATTATTAAAGCAAACCAATAAGGCAATAAACAATCCCATAATACAATCTAACGAATAAATAATAAATTAATAAAAAAAATTAAATGAGAAAAATTATTTACGGTAAAGCTTAAATACTACATGCTAAAGTTTTGGAAAAAATAATTCATAAATTATGAGGGATTTTTTAAATTAAAAAAACCGGACCTAGCATAGTTTAACTTAAGATGATGAAGATTAAAGTTTTTTGGAAATTTTAAATTTTAATAACTAATTTAAAGAAAAAGAAATAAAATATAAGAATAAAATAAAATAATTGTAAATACAAAACCATATATTTAATTATGAAAGATAAATATAAAAATTATAGATTTAAATATAATAATTATAAGATTAATAATAACTAAATAAGACAATAAACTAATAAATAAATTAAATTTAAAAAAAATATGGAAAAATAATATTAGATCATTAATAATAGTAAGCTTATTATAATTAATTAGAAAAACAAAATTTATTTTTATAATAAATTTTACATTCTGTTTAATCTGATTGTGTATAAAAAGTTTTAAATTAATGATTTTTTTATAATATAAGAAAAAAATTTATTTGTAATTAATAATTTTATATAATATAAAAACTTAATTTATTTTTTTAAAAATAAAAGTATTATTATTGCATTATTTATCTAATTTACTTTTTTATTATTTTTATGTTTTTTTTCTCATTAAAGTAAATATTTATAATATATTATAAATTAATTTTAGTTTATTTTTTTTAGAATTAAACATAATTTTATTTTTTTTATTTATTATATTTTACAATTTATTTTTTTAATAAAAAAGTAAGGTCCCACTGGGATTCGAACCCAGGTCAAGGGATTTAAAGTCCCCAGTACTAACCACTATACTATGGAACCCGTCACAGTGATTTATATAATACAAATATAATTAAAGTTAAAAGTAAATAATAAATAAATTAATATTTATTTTAATTTTAAAAAATTATTTAAAAAGTTTTTTTTTTTTGCTTTGTAAATTTATATTGTTCCTTTAATTATATATAAAATATTTAATAAAAAATACTTAATATATAAAATATCTTTTTTATTGAATTATATTCTATTAGTTTAATTTAACTTTTTATTTAAAATAAATTTAAAAAAATAAAAAATTTAAATAATTATAAATAAATATTTTATTTATTTTTTTCATTTTATAATTATTAAATTTCTATTTTATTTATCATAAAAAAAAATCAAATTAAAATAAATTAATGATGATTGATTCCAAAAATTCGACACATAAATTACCTTCTTATAACAATAATGTGCGTTATATCTTATCAAAGCAAAAAATAAATGTAATTAAGTAATTTTAATTATATTTAAATATTTTTATATATAACTATATATATATATATATATATTTATTATTTATAAATAAAAATTTATAATAAAACAGGATTTATTTTTAAAATTTTTAAGCCAATCTTCCACAAATGAACTTATTTAAAATTTAATAAAAGATATAAAAAATGGAACTATAAATGAAAATGTATTACCTAACCCTATTTTCACATCACCACGTATTACTTTATAAAATTCAATGACAAATTCAGCAATATTAAATTCGTCAATATAAAAATCTCCTTCTAAACAAATCAAAAATTTATAAGATAGTCAAATATAATCACCATTGAAAGTATAAAAACAAGAAAATACAAAATAAAATAATCTATAAAATAGTGTTTTGGTATAAAATATATTTTAAATATTAATTTATTATTTACATTTGTAAGTAAAAAAATTAAAATAATATTATATTATATTTATTTACAATATATAATTTATATATATGTATATTATTTGATTAATAAAATAATTCTAATATGATATAAAATTAAAAATGATTAGATGCAAAGTGTTATGTTAAACAAAGCTAGTTACGATTAAATACCATAATTTTTTTTCGGAGAAAATTAATAATAAAACTAACAACAATAATAAACTATAGTAATACAAATATTTTATATAAAATATATATATATAAAAATATATATATGTAAAAATAATAAATACATATATATATATATATATATAAAATATATATATATATATTTAAATAAATATAAATATAAATATATATATATATACATATCTTTATTAATAAATTTTTGCTAACATAATTATATAGAATACAATTAATGAAATTTTCGGAAAAAATAATGAAATATAACTAAAAGAATTCAAAGATTTAATAACAAAAGTATGTTAATTACCCAATATTCTAATCTAATTGTTATTTAATAAAATCGACAAATAAAAGAATGATAAAATAAATAAAACAGTATTTTTGAATTATTGGAAAAATGAATTACAAAATACTTCTTTATAATAACGTTTTTTTAATATTTTGAAAAAATAATCTAATGACTTTATTGAAAGAGATGATTTCTTACCATTAATGAAAGGTTTGTATATTTTTTTTTTTAAAAAAAAAAATCATTTAAATGTTTAATTATTAAGTAATTTAAAGTTCTTCTTGAAACTCATCCTGGATTAGAATTTCTTAAAGCAACTCCAGAATTTTAAGAAAGATATGGTAATAATACTTTTTTAAAAATATAAATATTAAATAAAATTATATAGCTGATACAGTTATAATTAGAATTTTTTTTATTGTAAATAGAAAAGATGATGGCAAAATAACTTATAAAGAATTTAAAAAAAGTAATCTTTTCTAAATATTATAATAAGTAGATACTGAAGAAGATATAAATAAAGTATTAATAAAATAAATATATTTTTAACATATTAAAAAGATAAGAGACTATTTTTCTTATGAACATTTCTATGTTTTGTATTGCAAATTTTGGGAATTAGATTAAGATCATGATTTTTTAATAAATAAAGAAGAATTTAGTAGATATTCAGGTCATACTTTATCAAGAAAAACAGTGGAGAGAATATTTGAAGAAATTCCAAGATAATTTAAAAGCGGAGAATTATAAAAAATGGGTTATGAAGATTTTATTTGTAAATATATAAATATAAATATATATATATAAATATAAATTTAAAAATATAAATATATATATATATATATATATATATTATTTTAATATTTAGGGTTTGTTCTTGCTGAAGAAGATAAAACTAATTTAACTAGTTTATAATATTGGTTTAAAATTATAGATTTAGATAACAATGGAATAATTACGTATTTATATATAAAAAAAATTATAATTTATAAATATATATAATATACATTTAATACATATTTTATTAATAATAAGTGGTTATGAAATGAAAGAATTTTTCGAAGAACAAAGATAAAGATTAGAGTATTTAAATCACGAATTAGTGTATTTTGAAGATATAGTTTGTTAAATGTATATTTTTTAAAAAAAATTGTTTAAGTATATTTATATAATAAGGGTTGATTTATTAAAACCTGAAGATGATATAAAATTTTATTTTTATCATTTTAAATAAAAATAAAATTTAAGTGGAGTATTCTTTAATTTTTTAACAAATTTAAATAAATTTGTATCATATGAATAAAGAGATCCATTTAATATTAGAAATGAGCTTAATGAGCATCCTGATTATTCAGATTGGGATAGATTTGCTTAAAATGAATATCTTAGGCTAGCTATGGAAGAAGAAAATTAAGAAAATGTAATTTTTTTGTTATTAAAAAAAATATATATTTCATATATTTATATATAAAGGGAGAAGTATTTAATGATGGAAATGATCCTTGGGATTAAGAAACTGGGCAAGAAAATATTAATTGATTTATTTTTAAATAAAAATTATTTATATTTAAGAATAATAATATAGATAATTAAATAAATTATTTTAATTTTTTTTTATATATATATATATATATATATATATATATATATATTTATATAATTAAATATATTTTTTATTTATATTTATTAAAATATAATCATATTTATTTATATTTTATATATTCTTATATTTTACTGAATATAACATTATATTTTCATATTAAAAATTAAATATTATATAAATTATATAATATTATATTAAATATACAATATTTAATTTACGAATTTTTTACTTTTTTTCTTTTTTACTTTTCTAGAAAAATTAATATAAATCAAAAAAAAATACTATACACATAATATTTTAATAAATAAAATATTTTATTAAATATATTTAATTCTAATGTTCAGAAATATACAAAAACTTAAAAAACTTAACCTTAGTTTTTTTCAAAAAAGCCTATTATATTAATAAAAGTTTTATTTTTGTCTAAATTAAAATTAAGAACCAGATGGTATTAATTTTTTTTTTTTTTATAAGAAAATAAAAATAAGGATTTGATAAATTTAAAAGAAAAATAAAAAAAAAGCAATACTAAGATTAATAAATAAAACAATAAAAATAAGAAAAAAGTATTTATTTATTAAAGATAAAAATATTTTTAATAAAAATAATGATTAGTTGAAAAAAGTGAATCTAAGGACGAAGATACAAATAAAAAAAAAGAACCATAAGAAGAGGATGAAGAAGATATATTTATAAAATTAAACAAAAATATTAAAGAAGGCTAAAATAAATAAGAAAAACATGACAACGAACAAGATAAATCTTAAGAAGAAAAAAAAAGCGATTTTTTCGATTATAAAAAATTAAATCATAAAGAAGAAGACGAATAATAAAATGAAAACAAAGAAAATTTTAAAAAAGAAAAATTTTAAAAATATATAAATTAAATTAAAGAATTTCTAAAAAATAAATAAAATCTAAAAAAACTAGGAGCTTCATTTATAATTATAATTTTAACAGGATTATTTTATAAAAAATATAAAGATTAAGAATTAATATCTTATATAGTAAAATATATATAATATATGTATATATATATATATATATATATATATATATTTATATATTTATTTATTTGATTATTTAAATATATATAAATAAATTTTTTAAGGATTTCTAGAAATAATATTTAGAAAAAAATCAATTAAAAAACATTAAAATAAATGTTGTTTAACTTGTAAATTTTAAATTATCAACATATGAAGCAATAATATACACAAAAAGTAATTAAACTAGAAGATTACCAATTTTAAATGTCGACAATTTTATCGAATAAATTGAAGTTAAAAAAAAAGAATTAGAATTATAAAATTTCCCTATAGATTTCTAATATAGAACTGAAGCGGCAATATTCTTTAATCTTTTTAACAGTATTATTAGCCCAGTTAGTTTTATTCTTATATCTTATTTCGTTTATAAATAATTTAAAGTTAATACTAAACCTTCTAAAGGTGGAGGTGGATTTGGTTCTGGAGATGGAAGAGATATATTTAGCATGGGTATTTCTATATACACAATTATTTTTTTATTTATTATAAAAAATAAGGTAAATCAAATGTAAAAATATTTGGAGTTGGAACGAAAGTAAAAACTAAATTTAAAGATGTAGCTGGATAAGATGAAGCTAAGTAAGAAATTTAAGAATTCGTTGATTTTCTAAAAAAGCCAAAAAAATATAAAGATTTAGGTGCTAAAATTCCTAAAGGAGCACTACTAACAGGTCCACCAGGAACAGGAAAGACTTTATTAGCAAAAGTAAATAAAAATTATATATATTTTTAATTAAAAATAAATTAAAAAGGCTTGTGCAGGAGAAGCAGGAGTACCATTTTTTTTTATTTCAGGTTCTGATTTTGTAGAAATGTTCGTTGGAGTAGGAGCTTCTAGAGTTCGTGATTTATTTAAATAAGCAAAAGAAAAATCACCGTCTATAATTTTTATTGACGAAATAGATGCTGTAGGTAGAAAAAGAGAAAGTAAAAATATATATATATATATATATATATATATATATTTATTTTAATACATATATATTTATTTATTTAATTTATTTAAATTTATATTATATTTATTTATCTCTATTTATTAAATAAAAGATAAAATGGGTTCTAATGATGAACGTGACAATACCTTAAATTAACTTCTTGTAGAAATGGATGGATTCGATTCTAATTCTAATGTAATAGTTTTAGCTGCTACTAATCGTAAGGAACTTCTTGATCCAGCCTTGACTCGTCCTGGTCGCTTTGACCGTTCTGTTGATATTACAAATCCTGATATAGATGGTCGTAAATAGATATTTATGGTACATTTAAAGCCTTTAAAGCTTCATCCTTAGAAAACGATGGAAGATTATGCTAAAAGACTAGCTACATTAACTCCTGGATTTTCTGGTGCTGATATAATGAATTTATGTAATGAAGCAGCTATAATGGCCGCCAGAAAAAATAAGAAATTCGTAGATTAATTAGATTTTGAGTTAGCTTCTGAAAGAGTAATTGGAGGTTTGGAAAAAAAGAGGATAATTTCCGAAGAAGAAAGGAGAATTGTCGCAGTTCATGAAAGCGGACATGCTGTTGTTTCCTGGTTTTTAAAAGGGGGTGATCCTTTATTAAAAATAACTATAATTCCAAGAACTAAAGGCTCTCTAGGTTTCGCCTAATATCTCCCTAACGAAAATTCCCTATAAAAAAAATCAGAATTAATGGATAAATTATGCTGTATGTTAGGAGGAAGATGCGCTGAGTAGATCTTCTTTGACAGTATAACTACAGGAGCTTATGATGATTTATAAAAAGCCTATGAGTTATGTTTTTCGGTAGTCTCGAAGTATGGAATGAATGAAAAAATAGGAAATATTGGGTATACAGAGAGTGAATATAGTAAAACTTATTCAGATTTTACTAATAAGGCTATTGATGATGAAATAAAAGAAATTATTAAATAGTCTACTGAGAGAACTAAATAAGTTATTTTAGATAATAAAGAATTAGTTGATAAGTAATATATATAATAATTTTATTTATATATTTTTTAATTATAAGATTATCTTAAGAATTATTAGATAAAGAAACTCTTGATCTTAAATAAATTACTAATATTTTAGGTAAGAAGCCTTTTGAACCTAAAAGTAATTATAAAGCTTATCTTGAATTATAATAGTAAGATGAAGAAGAAGAATAATAATAGTAAGAGGATGAATAAAATAAATAATAAGTATAAAAAGAAAGTAATAAAGAAGAATATGATAATGAATAAAATAAATAAAGTTAATAATAAAAAGAAATTCATAAATAATGATATATATAAATAAATAAAAATAATTTTTATATATTTAAATATAAATATTATATTTTTTAAATACATTGATTTTTTTTTTTATTTTAATTTTAAAATAAATTATACTTAATATATTTTTTATTAATAAAACAAAAATTATTAAATATAATGAATTATTATTAAAATGATATAGTTATTTATATAAAGTTTATTTTTAAAATTATATACAAATTAAAAAGGTTAGTGGTAATTAATTAAATAAATATTTTTTAATAATAAAAAATTTAGAATTAATACTCAATAAAAACTAAATATTATTTATATATATATATATATATATATCTTTAAAATATATATTAAGTTTACATTATTTTTTTTTTTTTTATATATATATATATATAATTTAAAAAAAAT